TTTATATTCCGACGATAAACAAAGAGCAAACTCGATTTAAGTTATTGGGGTTTTTTAGGAGGAAAAGCCAATAAGTCTTTTAGCGGTTGAGATTGACTGTAATTTGACTTGGGAATGACGGATGTACAAACCCTAATCGCTTGATTGTCTGCGATTTATAGGGTCGGCGAAAGTAGGGTTTGAGGGGTTTTGGTCATTGATGATCGGAGAAGAGAATGATGGTGGTGTGGGGTCATAATAGTGTTAGAATCGGGAATAAAATATATATATTTAAAATTAAATTAAATTAAATTACTAGGATAAAATTAAAGTTTTATTGGGCCGACAGTTGTATGTTCATGCGATTGCCAATGAAGCAATGAAGTGAAAAGGTTGCTTTAATTAACAATTATGAAGCAATAAATAAAATCCACACTCTTCCAAAAATGTCAAAATCTTGTCACTTAAAATATTGAAAGCAACTCCCACTGTACTCACTACTATCACCATGATTTTCAATTCATTTACAAAAGTGCTTGTTTTTAGAATCTTATTTTTGGTTTTTGAAAGGAAAACATTTTCTTAAGAATTAATGATGAATAAGAAATTAAGAAATAAACTTAAAATGATAATTTATTTTTTTATTATATTCTTTTCCAATATGCTTTTATTGTTCTTTAAAAAATAAAATGAATTTTTAAATGGTCTACTACATTTATCCCTATGAGACCATTGTTGCAAAATATTATATTTCTCATTGAGAATTATTGAAATCTCTCTTAAGAATATCAATATACTATAAGTTTATATTCTTTATTAGTAGGATGATCCATATTTGAATTTAATATAGTGTCGCAATAATATTACAATTATAAATTTGAAATCTCAATATATATACTTTGTAACATAATATTATTGATAATTTATATTACAGGATGATATAAGTATATTATAAATAAATGTGGGGTTTGTGTAATAAGTCAAATATATTATACTATATCTTATTGCTAATTGAAAGCTTAAATTATCAATTTATTACCCATAATGTTAGATGTACAAACAAATCTTACAAAGATTTGTGTACAAACTGATATAGCAGAAAATAAGTGGAACAAAAAGTCAAACTTATTATATTCACTATTTCATTCATTATTGTCACACCAGTTTGTATACAAATCTTTGTAAGATTTATGTGTACATTTAGCAATACTCATTTATTACCTCTCCCCTTGTGGTTGGATCACAAACCCTTTAGCTATCGGGGTTAATTATATTCAAATTGTCTTGTGTTGGAGTCGTAGGAGAGATACCTACCTCATTTATATAATTATCTTGGTCCATTAGACTTTTAAGGTGTTCTGTTACCCTGAGGATTAGACATGTTCCAATTTGGGTCTGGATACCTCAATTACCTAAAAAAAAATTATCAACTTATTAATTTAGGTTGCTTCTAATATCATAGGAAGAGTTGGTTAGAAAAACCTATAATAATTTTGGATTTGAATTATGATTGCAACTTGCAAATAACTCAAAGGCTCTATTTTTAGATGCATCATAAAGTGTAGTAGTAGCTCAATAACATGTTTATTTCTATCTAACTTTATATTGATAGTGAAGGCAACTGTATATGAAAAAGTTGGGTGACCTTTAATTTGGTCATTTCTTTTTCTCAAAGAATAAATAAAATAATTGCAATCAAACCAACAAAAAGCCAAATGGGAAAATGAAAAAGAAGATAGAGAAAGAGTTTTTATTTTGTGGTGGACATGCACGCAGACACACACTACTTAGTAGCTAAGGTACCTCATTTTTTAACCATTGGCTACTAGGAAATCTATACTTATCTCTTATTTTTCTGTCATCATCTCATGTCATCTCATACATCATACACAAATTCTTATTAAATTATTCTTAATTTTGGATTAATATAATAATCATAATTATAATAACGATAATAAAGTTCTTCAGTCTAGAACCTCTTACATTAATTTAGTCAGGACCATACTTGTATAGTATTTAATTCATCTGTATAAATTAAACCAACCCAATGAGAACCATCCAACGCGATTGAGCAAGAGTTTATATCTACATGAAGTGTCTCTCTTATTAAAATTCAGATTTGAATTCTTACTAACAAAAGTTTACTCTTGCTTGCAATAGCTGGATTGGCGTTGGTTTAGTATAAAATTATGATTAAATTTAATATTACTTATTTATTTTTTTGGATAATTTTGGTGGTAGAATTATTAAACTTTGGATAAAAATTCTATATGAGATAGTTAAAATTATTATTTATCATTTTGATTAATTTATTATAAGAAATAGTTTGTATATATTGTGTTAGATTTAATTTTTTCTATATAAAAAAATGGATCAAATATGATGATCCAAGGTTTTCTTTAAAAAAAAAACCCAAACCCACCCCATTTTTAAGAATGTATAATAGGGCGGATTTGGATATTCATAAAAGAGATGGATATCGGGATGAATTTCTTAGTGTCTAACCCAACCTGGCTCATTGACATCCCTATGTATATTACAATCTAGATTTTCTTTTTTTACTTTGAGCTTGAATATTTCTCTTTCATTATAAGCCATTTATTTTGTGGGCCTTTGTTGGAAATATTATTCCACTATCAATTTATAAAGACAAGGCAATATTGGTTGTCAATTGAAGCATCTCTCAATGAACTTCATAACTATTGGCCGCCCTAATCCACTCATAAAATGTCATTATTTTTGAGCTATCCTTCCATTTCTATTGTTCCTTAAATAAAAACAATTCCACCTATAAACATCAATAGTCACCAATACTTCAAAAGTACTCTTGTATACATTTGTTCAAAATACAAACATCGATGATGATGGATATCAATTTATTTGACACCCACATTAAAAACAAAATTTTAAGTAAACGATTATGAAATTTTGTATTTTAATGTTAGTTAACAATAATAAAACCGAAAAATACAAATATAATTATATTTAAAAGAAAGTTTTTTTAATGTGACTGTTGAAAAGGCGGAGCCAATCCTAGCTTGTCACCACATCAATATTTTTCAATGGGCTAACAACATTTTATAGATCGGTCTCAATCATTGAATTGAAATATTTAGATAGTTAAGCATTTCAAGGTTTCAAAATGACCTAGATTGGAACGGGATGTTTAAATATGACAATTCACTTTCACTAAATTTGAGATTGTCTATAAAACATCTGGATGCCTTTACAAGTCAAAAAATTAGATCATGCAAAGAATTCGTCTTGGGTGAGCTCATAAAAACAATAAAAATCTCGAGGGGTTAGTTTGCCGGTCAAAGGGGTTTGCTCTCTTAATTGAGTTCTTAGATTTAAACTTTGAGACCACTTACTATAATAACATTGTAACTTACCTTATTTATGCTTATAGAGTGTTCAATAGACCTTGAAGATTAGTTGAGGTACGCGTAAGCTAACCCAGATATCCCAGTTACAAAAAAAAAAAAAGAAAAAAAAGATAATAATAATTGTAAAAGCATTCTATTAGATTGGAATGGGATGGCTAAATATGACAATTCACTTTTACTAAATTTAAGATTGTCAATAAAACATGTGGATGCCTTTCAAAGTGGGAAAATTAGATTATTCAAAGAATTCGGCTTGTGAGGCATAAAAACAATGAAAATAAATTAATAAATCCAAAAGGCAACTTATTTTCATATTTAAAAGTCTCAAACTTGTTATATACATACCCCAAAACAAATTCAAAAATATTAAAATTAATGCGAAGCAGGTTAACAATCTATACCTTATGATCAGGGATAGAGTCAGAACAAATATGAAAATTTTAAGAGTAAATGACTTTTTCCAGCCCAAGGTTTGCCTTAATGACTTTCCCACAAAAAAATATTTCAAAATACCACTTCCCCCCACCCAAATTTTTATATTCCATTAATAACTAAAATACACTTCACTTTCTCAACTGCATTCGGCGAGTTACTAGGAGCCAAGTAAGAGAGGTTTTGTAGAGTGGAGACCAGTGATTAAATGATGGTAACAGATTGAATATTCGCCATTGAATAACGAAATCAACTTAGAACAGAAAACCTTAGCTTTGGCGGTTGTCAGTAATTGACAAAAAATCAGATGTCAGAGTGAGAGAATTCTTGTAGAGAAGAGTTTGGAGGTTCAAATAATAGTGACAGAGAGAATTTTTGCCCATCGGAATCGGCCATAATCAGTTTTAGATATTAACAAAATATAAACTTTGGGTGAGAAAGTGATATTTTGAAACTTTTTGGATGAAAAATATCGTTAAGGCAAACCTTAGGTGGGAAAAATTCGTTCACTAAAATTTAAATAGTAAATAATGTTTTGTGACATAATGTAGTTACCTAACAAGGAGGGTATGGAAGGTAGGTGAAATGAGATTTTATTAATTCATTCAATGCAAAGAAAGAAAAAGAAGCAATCCATTGAGATACGGAAAAGCTGGACCCTGTTAAATTGCTGACCTTTTAGGCCCAAGGGAAAAGACTGTTTGTATTAATAATGTATCTGCCTAATTCCCCTGAAAAGGAGAGATCCTTCTAAAAAGTGAAAGGCTGCTTTTTCAAAACACTTTTATATGTTTCAAGAATATCACTTTCACCCTCCTTTTAAATTAAACCAATGTATATCAAACCCCACAAACATTATGATCATCATTTAAAAGCCCAGATAATTACATGTACCCCCCCCTTTTGTATCATTAACAAACAATTGTACCCACCAGAATCTCCCCTTGAATGAATAAATAAGTAGAGTCTGTAGGGGCCACCACACACTCTCTTTCTAACATAATGTTTCTGTCGTCATTCTCCATTTTCAAATTCACCATTTCATCATCTTCACCTCCTTTATATGAGAAAAGTCTAAAATACCGCGGTGGTATAACATCAGTCTTATCGCAAATCAATATCATTACTTATTTATCGTTAATTTTTATAATTAATATGGTTAATGATTTTTATGGTATTACCGACGTGGTAACCGCAGTGTGGTACAGAACAGAAGTCTCCCTATTCTTTGTTTCTTTCTCCCCCTCTCCTACAACCATTTCTGTCTTCTTCTTTACTCCTACTTTTTCACCACCCACCTCTCTTCCTTCGTTTTAGATCAAACAAACAAAAACATATCTTCATTTTCTCCCTCCCACCATGGCTAAGCTGGTGGTACAAATTCTTGATGCTACTGATCTCATGCCCAAAGATGGTCAAGGATCTGTAAATCCTTTTGTCGAAGTAGAGTTTGATGGGCAGAAACAAAGGACTCAAACCAAGCCAAAAGACCTCAACCCTTCTTGGAATGAAGCCCTTGTTTTCACCATTCACAACCTCCATGATCTTCCCAATGAAACAATTCATGTTACAATGTATCATGACCCCAAAGGTGGCCATGGTCATCACATGAACTTTCTTGGCAGAGTTAGAATTTCTGGTGTTTCTATCCCTTTATCTGAGTCTGAGGCCAATGTTCAGCGATACCCTCTTGAGAAACGTGGCCTTTTCTCTCATATTAAAGGTGATATAGCTCTAAAATTTTATGCAGTTCATGATGAGTCTGGTTTTGCTGCACCAACAAATCATGGTGGTGGTAGTTTTGAGAGTAGTCAAGAGACTCCACTGCAAGAAATAAACCCCAACAGGTATTTTGATGAGCGTATCAGAAGTGAACAGTTTGAGAAGAAAAAGAAGAAGGAAAAAGAAGTGAGGACTTTTCACTCTATAGGGACTGCAACAGCCGCTCCAACTCCAGCTCCAGCTCCAGCTGTGTTTGGTTTTGATATGAAGGAAAAGCCTGTGGAGACAAGAATGGATTTTGCCAAAGCTGCAGGGCCTGCAGCAAGTGTAATGCATATGCAAACGCCAAGGACTAATCCAGAATTTCTTTTGGTGGAGACTAGTCCACCGCTTGCAGCTAGACTGAGATACAGAGGCGGCGACAAGACATCGAGTACTTATGATTTGGTTGAGCCGATGCATTTCTTGTATGTGAATGTGGTTAAGGCAAAAGATCTTCCTGTAATGGATGTTTCGGGGAGTCTTGACCCTTATGTGGAAGTAAAGCTTGGGAATTATAAAGGTGTTACCAAACACTTGGAGAAGAATCAGAACCCAGTATGGAAGCAAATTTTTGCTTTCTCAAAAGAGAGATTGCAGTCAAATTTGGTGGAAGTGATTGTGAAAGATAAGGATTTTGGGAAGGATGATTTTGTGGGGAAGGTTTATTTTGATCTATCAGAAGTCCCTGTTCGAGTTCCACCGGACAGTCCATTGGCTCCTCAATGGTACAAATTGGTGGACAAGAAGGGAGATAAAACAAAAGGTGAAATTATGCTTGCAGTTTGGATGGGAACACAAGCTGATGAGTCATTTCCTGAGGCATGGCACTCTGATGCACACAGCATTAGTCACTCAAATCTATCTAACACCAGATCAAAGGTTTACTTCTCTCCCAAGCTTTATTACCTTCGAGTTAATGTCTTGGAAGCACAGGATCTTGTGGCATCTGACAAAGGGCGAATCCCGGAGGCATATGCTACAATTCGTCTTGGAAATCAGATGAGGGTAACTAAGCCTTTGCAGACGCGAAATCCGATGTGGAAAGATGAGTTTATGTATGTGGCATCTGAGCCTTTTGAGGATCTGATTGTTGTGTCTGTTGAGGATAGAGTTGGACCTGGCAAGGATGAGACTTTAGGAAGGGCACACATTACAGTTAGAGAGGTTCCATCAAGACATGAGGTCAAAAAGTTGCCAGATCCTAGATGGTATAATCTCCAAAAACCTTCATTGGCAGAAGAGGAAGGTGAGAAGAAGAGAGAAAAATTCTCAAGCAAGATTCTAGTTGGATTCTGCTTAGAACAAGGTTACCATGTTCTTGATGAATCCACTCATTTGAGCAGTGATCTTCAGCCATCTTCAAAGCACTTGAGAAAGTCTAACATTGGAATCCTTGAACTTGGGATTTTGAGTGCAAAAAATTTGATGCCTATGAAGAGCAAAGATGGTAGAACTACTGATGCATATTGTGTGGCAAAGTATGGCAACAAATGGGTCCGAACTAGAACACTCCTTGACACTCTGACTCCACGATGGAACGAGCAGTATACCTGGGATGTTTATGATCCTTGCACAGTGATCACAATTGGTGTTTTTGATAATAACCACATTAATGGAAGCAAAGATGATGCAAAAGATCAGAGAATTGGAAAGGTGAGAATTCGTTTATCGACTTTAGAAACTGATCGTGTATATACACATTACTATCCTTTGCTGGTACTCACACCCTCCGGTTTGAAGAAACATGGGGAACTTCAATTGGCATTGAGGTTTACATGTACAGCTTGGGCAAACATGGTGACGCAATATGGAAAACCATTGCTTCCCAAAATGCATTATGTGCAGCCAATACCAGTTAGAAATATTGATTGGCTTCGCCATCAGGCCCAGCAGATAGTTGCAGCAAGGCTTGGAAGATCAGAGCCACCACTTAGGCGCGAAACAGTTGAGTACATGCTGGATGTCGATTACCATATGTTTAGTTTGAGGAGAAGCAAAGCCAATTTCCAAAGAATAATGTCACTTCTTTCAGGGGTTACAGCTGTTTGTAGATGGATAAATGACATTTGCACCTGGAGAAACCCGNGGTGGACAAGAAGGGAGATAAAACAAAAGGTGAAATTATGCTTGCAGTTTGGATGGGAACACAAGCTGATGAGTCATTTCCTGAGGCATGGCACTCTGATGCACACAGCATTAGTCACTCAAATCTATCTAACACCAGATCAAAGGTTTACTTCTCTCCCAAGCTTTATTACCTTCGAGTTAATGTCTTGGAAGCACAGGATCTTGTGGCATCTGACAAAGGGCGAATCCCGGAGGCATATGCTACAATTCGTCTTGGAAATCAGATGAGGGTAACTAAGCCTTTGCAGACGCGAAATCCGATATGGAAAGATGAGTTTATGTATGTGGCATCTGAGCCTTTTGAGGATCTGATTGTTGTGTCTGTTGAGGATAGAGTTGGACCTGGCAAGGATGAGACTTTAGGAAGGGCACACATTACAGTTAGAGAGGTTCCATCAAGACATGAGGTCAAAAAGTTGCCAGATCCTAGATGGTATAATCTCCAAAAACCTTCATTGGCAGAAGAGGAAGGTGAGAAGAAGAGAGAAAAATTCTCAAGCAAGATTCTAGTTGGATTCTGCTTAGAACAAGGTTACCATGTTCTTGATGAATCCACTCATTTGAGCAGTGATCTTCAGCCATCTTCAAAGCACTTGAGAAAGTCTAACATTGGAATCCTTGAACTTGGGATTTTGAGTGCAAAAAATTTGATGCCTATGAAGAGCAAAGATGGTAGAACTACTGATGCATATTGTGTGGCAAAGTATGGCAACAAATGGGTCCGAACTAGAACACTCCTTGACACTCTGACTCCACGATGGAACGAGCAGTATACCTGGGATGTTTATGATCCTTGCACAGTGATCACAATTGGTGTTTTTGATAATAACCACATTAATGGAAGCAAAGATGATGCAAAAGATCAGAGAATTGGAAAGGTGAGAATTCGTTTATCGACTTTAGAAACTGATCGTGTATATACACATTACTATCCTTTGCTGGTACTCACACCCTCCGGTTTGAAGAAACATGGGGAACTTCAATTGGCATTGAGGTTTACATGTACAGCTTGGGCAAACATGGTGACGCAATATGGAAAACCATTGCTTCCCAAAATGCATTATGTGCAGCCAATACCAGTTAGAAATATTGATTGGCTTCGCCATCAGGCCCAGCAGATAGTTGCAGCAAGGCTTGGAAGATCAGAGCCACCACTTAGGCGCGAAACAGTTGAGTACATGCTGGATGTCGATTACCATATGTTTAGTTTGAGGAGAAGCAAAGCCAATTTCCAAAGAATAATGTCACTTCTTTCAGGGGTTACAGCTGTTTGTAGATGGATAAATGACATTTGCACCTGGAGAAACCCGGTTACAACAATTCTTGTGCACGTGTTATTCTTGATACTGGTTTGCTATCCAGAACTGATACTGCCCACAATTTTCCTCTACCTTTTTGTTATTGGAATCTGGAACTTCCGTTTCAGGCCAAGGCACCCACCTCACATGGATGCTCGTCTTTCACAAGCAGACCATACACACCCAGATGAGCTGGATGAGGAATTTGATACATTCCCGACAACAAGACCTGCAGACATTGTAAGAATGAGATATGACAGGCTTCGCAGTGTGGCAGGTCGAGTGCAGACAGTGATTGGAGATTTGGCGTCGCAAGGGGAACGGGCTCAAGCTATACTGAGCTGGCGTGACCCAAGAGCTACTGCTATCTTCATCATCTTCTCGTTGATCTGGGCAGTGTTTATTTATATTACCCCATTGCAAGTGGTGGCAGTTCTGGTTGGTCTCTACTTTCTGCGCCATCCCCGGTTCAGGAGCAAGATGCCTGCTGTACCTGTCAACTTCTTCAAAAGATTACCAGCCAAGTCAGATATGCTACTATGATACAGCAACTGTGTCACTACATTCTTGTAAATGTCAAGATAAATCATAGCTGCAGAAGACCGAAAAATAAAGCTGCAGCAGTTTTCTTTTGTCCCTGTTATCCTCCATGGCTCCGTCAGCAGAAGAAGTTACTCCGCCAGATTTCTCAGAGCCCACCATTCTTTGGGCTTCTATATATACTTTGTTTATTTTTCTCCTGTTGGGTGAATTTTCAATGTTATATATATATTGTATTCTCGAGTAATAAGCAAGCAATCAGAATAGGAAAAAAAATGAGTACATTATGATTACTTGAAATTTAGCAACTGTTGTAATAGTGAAATCAGTTAAAATTGTTTGGTAAACAAAATTGGTTGCATTCTCAGCGATCAATCTATAGCAATCTTCAGTAAAATATCTCAATACCAAAATATTGCAAAACCCAATACAATAAAAGCTTCATTTGGATGGGGGAGTCCTATATCCAAGATGTATGATCACGGCTACAATTGTCAAGAAGCTGAAAAGCATTCCTCCGAGAAGAGCCTTGTCGATGACATCCCAACCACCAATGCTTCCTCCAACACATTCTTGCTTTTTCATGGATCCTAATGCGATATCATTTTCCACCTTGTGCACATGGTTCTTACGCTTCCTTAGTAACCATCCCATCAGATTTCTGCTGCTACGGTCTTCCAGCAATTTGTCAATCCTGGAAACTCTACTTTCCTCCAAGGCTATCTCACCTCCACAGCTTTCTGGTCCACAAGTACCACAATGTGGATCATTTGAGCATGCACATGAGTCATCTTGGTTGGAGCACGGATCCCATCTGACCTGACTAGATATTCTCCTGTTAGAAGCTGCTTTCTCGTCTATTTGGCTGAGAGTCTCAATCACTTCTCCAAAAACTGACCACCTTCCTACAGATGTTATCTTCACAATAGCTGAAGCACCAAGCATACTTTCTGCAGCAACTACAAGGACCTGGATATATCCCTTGGTATGGCCAACCTTGAACAACAAAGAAACATCTAGTCATAAATATCAAACAGTCCATAACACGACTTTGCTCCTAGAAAATAAACTGCAGAACAAAAGCATTTAGGTGCAACCAAATGACATTGTTTTACAGTTTTACCAGAACACGTGGTTATACAACAATAATTGTTAAAAGTAAAAAATGGATTCTTTGCTTGAAGTTATTCAAACATCAACAGATAAAAAGAAAAAAGAAATTACAACCTCATTTTTCAAAAGGGTAAAAATGAAATATATTAATGCTGAAAGCAAGAGAATGAGCAAACGGTTTTTCAGCATGGAGTTCATTTACAAAAGTTGTTCAGCCTTACCAGGTGTATTCCATCAGCTGCAATGTCAGTAATCCATATTCTTTCCACTCTACTCTCCATTCCATTATAGGGTGTGAAAGCTTCAAAAACAGATGTCAATTCACGACTTCGATTCTTCACTATATTACTTGGCACCTTTTTCATCCTTGCTGCAGGTGTCCCTGATTTCAGAAAGAAATGTTTATAGACATGGAAAAATTAAAGTATTCAAAATACCACAGGGCATCACCCAGCAAATCTATTCTGCACCAAGGATAGACTGCCTAATATTAGTTGAAATCTCTTCAATATATGTAAAGAACTACATCACATACAAACTTCAAAACAAGAAAAGTACCGCCGCTGCACACTCAAAGTCAAGCTAATGGCTAGGGATAAGTGTCTTTTACAAACTAATACATAGAAAGATAATAACTATATATTACAAGAATATAATAGAATAGCTTTTCTCTTTATTACCTTTAAGGGTGATTTAACATCATAAGCTTCTGCATATTACCTTTTCTCTTTATTACCCTATTTATTGCAAGAGTATTATAGAATAGCATATAAATATATTTGACATGTTATACTACAACTGTTGGAGTTAAGGACACAAAAAAGGTGTGGAGAAGTTTTCCAACTAGTTTACGTTTTCAGACCTACTGTTATCTCATCTTAACAATAGAGGTAAGTTGACTAAATCATCGTGTTCAAATTTCCAGTCTATAAATTATACTTTAACACGTAGTAAGTTGTGTTTATGTTAGAATCCACGTGTTCAAAACCACGTGATGAATCTGTTAATTCCACTTGGCCATACATGTGAAGGGGCATGTTAAAATAAATGCTATTCCTTTTGGGACTAATGGTATTTCAATCACATGTGTTCATTTTGCTGTAAAGAATGGAAGAGAGCTTTTAACACCAAAACAATTCAATCAGGTGTCTGTGTGCTAACTTTTGGGAATTACAGGATCCTGACACCTAGATCCACACTGCCATATCAAAGTCCATGTAGCATAGGGTTACAAATGCTACATTGCCAAATATGGTTAAAACTGCACGACAAACTGATTCCTTTATCTTGATACTTTATCATATAATTAAGCTGATAATAAAAATCTAAGCAAGAAAGTTTCGATTTTATTTAAAAGATATATTCACCAAGAGATGGAGCAAACAAGTCAAACTTTTGGTATTGATCTACTTCCACTTCCTAAGCAACATGTATCAGTCTGTTTACTTCGCACCCCAATGAACTTTGGGCAGTATGAGGATAGCTTGGTCATAACCTAAAAGATGTCTTCCCAGATTTCCCAAATCTACAGTTATAGCCTTTATTCTGGCTAAATGTCAGAATGCGACTTGAACAAACTTCATTTAATCACTAAAATCTTATTAAATGTGGTCAAAATAGGATATGCAAAGCCTAGTCAACTGTTTTAAACCTAACACTGACTCTCACAATTAACTGAATTTGAGTTGATGTCAACTAGTGAAACAAAAAAACACACACACACAACATTCATCTTCACTTAGCTTGCATACCAAGCCAAGACTCATGGAGAAGCAAAACTTTTGGAAGGCAGGTAAATTGAAATAGCAACTTACAGAATCTGCAGTAGCAGGAATTTGAGATGGGTGCAGTTATAATTTTCTAATGAGTAGTTGCCAAGAAAAAGTATTCTACACCTTAAAGAGAATATAAGGAGTTACATATTTAAGAATTTGACACAATGTCCAGGTTATTTTTATTTTATTTTATTTTTTTCAAAATAAGAGTTTCACACCCCAAGTGAATTATAAAATAATAGATAATAGATTAAGGAAAACATATAACTCGTCTAACTTAATCTAATATAGCCAGTGAAGAAAGATCCAAAACCAACACTTTAAAAGCTATGTGTCACAATGATAATGAGCTCCCACAAATTATAAAACACTTCCTCAATTACATGACAACACATCTTAGGTCAAAGAGACATGGAGCAACTTACCAAAAATACAATTAAGAATACAATGAAACAGTTATCATTATTTCTAAGCATAGAAGTTCATTAATATGCAACATGAATAGCATACCTGGCCTAGGATAGAACTGTGAAATGTGAACTTGGGAGAACTTGTACTCCTTAATGAGGCTAACAGTTTGCGCAAAGTCTTTATCCGTTTCACCTAAGCAGCACCATAAAATGAGTATTACTGTAACACTTTTTACCTAAAACTCTAAACAGGTAAATATTCCAAAACCTCTTCCACCAGTTCCCAAAATTCTGAAATCATACGTAAATAATTCCAATCCCCAAGGAGTTAGTAAGGCAGAGATGTTTTATAATTGATGCTCCCCTGACAGTAACTATTGCTAGTGCCACACAGAGTTGCAATATGGGAATTAAAATGAGACACAGCCGATCATTGCACAAAGTAGATAAACAATTTACCATTTAGAAGGAGTCACACCCTTCTGTTTATTTCACTTCAGCTTTTACAAGTCAAAGAATTTCAACACACACAAAAGAAGGGACAATGGAGAAGAAATACTAACCAGGGAATCCACAAATTATATCAGTTGCAATCTGCATCCCTGGCACAAGTGCGGTCAAGGTATCTACCACTGTCCTGAAGTCACTAACAGTATATTCCCGATTCATTGCCTGATACAATTAGAGCAATCATGTGATGAGATTCAACAGCCTTCTTTTACTATAATTTCAATAGAGGGAAAATTGCAGAAACAGACAATATACAGTTACATTATCAGAAAAAAANGGCAGAGCATTTGTTGTCACAAAAGGGCATTGCACCCACTAAATCGATTATTTCCTAGGTTGAATCCAACTTCCCATTATTCTATTATTTAATTATTAATTTTTTTGCACCCACTAAATCAATTATTTGACAATGAGTAAATTGGAAAACAATTAAAAAAGACTAAAAATAGAACAATAAATTAAAATATGATCTCCACTTAGAAGTTAGAACTTCGTTTATGGGTTGAAGCCAACAATTTCCCATTACTCTAAAGATAGAAAAAGTTAAATTTAGACTTGTTATGGTGGCAGATTTAACAAATAAATATAAATCACGCGTAAAAGAAATTTAGGGCCAAATCGATTCCCTTTTCAATTCCAGTTTTTTCTTGGAAAATATAGTGTTCGTTCACTAATCAATTTGTGTCACTACAAGAAATAAAGTTTTTGTGACAGTATTTACTGTCACAAAAGGGTTTTTGTGACAGTTTTGTAACACATCTAACCTGTTACAAAAAAAGCGGCGTTATAAAAAGTTTGCGAAAGCTTTGTAACAGGTATAAAAACATTTGTAATGGCAAATAAATCACAAATAATCTTTTGTGACAGCATATTGACAACATATCTTAGGTCAAAGAGACATGGGGCAACTTACCAAAAATACAAAGAAGAATAAATAAATAATTCCAAAACGTCTTGCACCAGTTCCCAAAATTTTGAATCATACATTAATAATTCCAATACCAAAGGAGTCAGTAAGGCAGAGATGTTTTATAATTGATGCTCCCCTGACAGTAAATATTGCTAGTGCCACACAGAGATACAATATGGGAATTAAAATGAGACACAGCCGGTCATTGCACAAAGTAGATAAACAATTTACCATTTAAAAGGAGTCAACACCCTGTTTATTTCACTTCAACATTTACAAGTCAAAGAATTTCAACACACACAAAAGAAGGGACAATGATGAAGAAATACTAACCAGAGAATCCACAAATTATATCAGTTGCAATCTGCATCCCTGCCACAAGTGCGGTCAAGGTACCTACCACTGTCCTGAAGTCACTAACAGTATATTCCCGATTCATTGCCTGATACAATTAGAGCAATCATGTGATGAGATTCAACAGCCTTCTTTTACTGTAATTCCAATAGAGGGAAAATTGCAGAAACAGACAATAGACAGTTATATTATCAGAAAAAAATGAAAGCACAGAACCAGTTTTTTAAGGAAAAGAGACAATTATGTTGACAATCTATTGATTTACCGTCAAGACAGCCTCACTCCCAGATTGGACTGGTACATCAAGAAAGGAGTATACACATGGGTGACGCAAAACTTCGGCTATTTCTTTCAAGTGCTCAAGAATAAAAGGAGGATTGGTCATTCCTATTCGAAGCATTGCACTTCCATCAGGAGGAAATGCTGCAACAAGAGCATTCAATACAATTGGAAGGTTAACCCCAATGTCACGACCTACAAATATTTCAGGACAAAAGAAATGGTCAACAACCTGCATGTTATGTCGAAGTTTACCATTAGGCATTAAGTAAAATATGTATTAGCTTGAATTCTAAATAAGCTTATTTAAGAGCCAAAACCTTTTAAACATATAACTAAGGTAAATCTGTAGTCAATTATAAATGCCTTGCAACATAATTGCAAAAACACAGTAATTGATCAGTTTAAAAAATAAATGAACAAAGTCACTGTATTACTAATGTGTTGTGATCATCTTAATTAAGACGATCACTTCGCATTAATAAGTAAATTGTGAGATATATCCTGTGGACACTGAGATTCCAACCAAAAATCCTAAAGAAACAAGAAATCTTCAAAACAAGTCATTTTTATATTACCATATGCTCCAGTATCTTCGCTGCCCAACCATATCTCCTCAACTCCATCAGTTATTACAGTTCTCACACAACTGACCTGCAAGATTGAAATTTAAATTAAAATATAGCCTGATGGCTTATAAGTACTAATTTTCCATGTTACAAACTTACAGGACTGTCAACAGTGTAGCTAGCTAAATGGCCTCGAGCATGCTTTGTCTTGCAATAAGTGCTAGCACCTAAGCAACCGACATTAATTGGAACAATCTAAACAAACTTTTTCTTTCTCACCTGTTGGAAAAGCAAGTTATATTTATTTTGAGAGAAAAACTACAGCTCCATCACTAGTTATGGAAATTATTTCAGGCAATTAAAAATGCATTAGTGCTACAAGTGATAATTAAAAATAACTAATGATCAGTGGAAATAACTCCTAAAAGGTCCTCCTAGTCTGAATTAGAAGGAAAATTTCAATGTAAATTACAACTCACCTTCGGAAGTTCAAGAGCTGGCAGTGTTTTGCAATGTAAGAGCCACACCTTATGACCTTTCAAAGTCTCTTCAACAACTTCAACAACATGGTCAATTTGCTGGACTAACTGTACTGACCCCTNGTATTTATAGTTTTGTATTATATGTTATTGTTTGTTTATGTGTTATTTGTTTTTTTTTTTTGGTTCATATTTGTTTATATTCTTAATTGAATTGAATTTAGAGTAGTTGATTTAGGGGGTGTAAATGTAAAAAATTAAAACTGCAGGAATTTTGGGGGTGTAATTGTCATAATTGAAAACTGTTAGGGGTGAAACTGTCAATACCGAAAGCTGGAGAGAGAAAAAACGGTCCACCCGCGGGTCCACCCGTACCCTTATAGGGTAGGGCACGGGTCCAAAATATTAGACCCGTATATATCCACCCGTATAAGACCCGTACCCGTTTTACTCGTGCCCGTTTTACCTGGCCCGTACCCGGCCCACCCACCCGTTTTGCCAGGTCTAGCCACAAGTGCGGTCAAGTTACCTACCACTGTCCTGAAGTCACTAACAGTATATTCCCGATTCATTGCCTGATACAATTAGAGCAATCATGTGATGAGATTCAACAGCCTTCTTTTACTGTAATTCCAATAGAGGGAAAATTGCAGAAACAGACAATAGACAGTTATATTATCAGAAAAAAATGAAAGCACAGAACCAGTTTTTTAAGGAAAAGAGACAATTATGTTGACAATCTATTGATTTACCGTCAAGATCGCTCTTTCAAATCTCGGCTTCCTTGTGGCACACACCCAGCAACCACCAGGGACTTTTTCACAGTTTTGCACTTTGTTATTAGAGTGTCCATGGCAGACTGGCTGGGGAACTTTACTGTGCATCTGTGTCAGGCAGTATGAATTACTAGTGCACTAATAGTACATGTACATACCATGGGAAAGGGAAACAACTTGTTTCACACATATTGTATCACTGTTACTCAAGAGACAACTACATAGAGAAAGCCCCAGTGGAGTTTTTACATACTAAATTACCAATCACAACCCCTTGGCCCTTACTGCATCAAGATCATCACCCACACGTAAAGCAAGTCACACAAAAATCATATGACATGGTGATCTAGTTGAAAATAATTACATCTTTCTTAACAACACATACAATTGGGTTATGGAAATACATTTAGAATAAATAAATGATTGAAAGAAACCCAAGCAGTACTACTCACGTATTTATCAGCCAAAGGTCTGCCTCCTCAGGATTGTCACTTAATGAATAGCCAAATGCCGAAAGCTGACAAGCCATATATTCACTGTCACTCTGAAACAATGAAAAATGAGAGAACAAAATAGTCAAGCCAAAAATCTCTGATGAACAAAAGTTGAAAATTTCCACCTCATTTTTCTTTTTGTTTTTCATTTTTGATATTTTTTCTCCTCCATGAATTTGGTTTACATAAAATTTCTTAATACAGGGTTTGGACATATTCTAAGATTCTTCAAAAGAAATAAAAGAAAACACCGCATAAATTACATTCTTCTGTGGATGATTCATGATTGACAACCCAATATTTTTACTAATTTCGATTAAGGAAAATTGTTCGAAATAATCATTTGAAATCAATAACAAATGATTTCTACCCTTTGAAGCGTAGAAAAGCAAAACTTCAATAGTGTTCTACTTTATTTGCATTGCATGTTTCTATATTACTTCATCATCACGAGTTTTAGTTTCTCAATATAGAATATCCATTCTGAGAGGTAAGACTCATATGTCCACCAGTTAAGTGTATCTTTCTTTCTCTGTTAATAAAATTCTTCAAACTGCCAAGGTTCACTAAGAAAAATATACTATATGACTTCATATTATTGCAAAAAAATTTAGCCCAACCCATAATAATTTCCCTTGCCTTAATTGAACTTACATGTCTAAATATGCTTATTAATATGAGAATATTAAGCCATAGTTTTGAGGTCTATATCGACAAAACTGTATTGTCAAATCAACCAAAGTTGATGGACTAGTACATGACAAAATCACTACAAAGCTTAAAAAAAAAAATGTGAAAGACTTAAAAAGTCAATTAACTCCAAGCTTTGAAACACTTGCACGCTAGAAAGTATTGTGCTTCCATTCTTTAATCTAGAGTTGACAATCTTTATATCTTTAGTCATTTTGCCTCTGACATACAAAGAACAGACAGTACCTTAACAATAAAATGATACCACAAACACCAAATTTGGGAATGAAATTCACAAATCAATTAAGCAGTCTACTTCAATTAACCAGCTTGTCATGCTTACTTCATTATCTTTATAACATCTGAAACCATGCTTAGGTAAAGCAGAAGCTTTGAGGTATGTCAGTGGCCAGTTAAAAAGTTATACCCACATCTTATGCATACAAAGTAGAAAAGTAGCCAATCCCAACTAGTTTTGAATTGTGAAGAATAAAGGACTTGTCTTATGCAAAAGAGAGCCCTATTTCCCTATTGAGGACAAATTGGGAAAATTTCGGCATATTTAACCATTTATCACGACAAAATAGGGAACTTTTAATGAAACTAAAGTAATTAGTGATATACACTGGTCACTAAATCCCTGGGTAACATTAGCAATATCAAGCTAAGTTAAATCCTTCAAAAACCCCAGATTTTAACTCTACAGCAGCTGTTTTTCCTAATCATTTAGCCAAAATGGCCACATTGGAGGAGGATTTTTTGAAAATTAGCCTATTCCAATTGTTCTTGCAATACCATCTATAATTAGTGACCAGCGCGCGCAGACACACACACACACACACACACAAAAAAAAAATAATTTGTACCTCTCTTCAACCATTTCAGGGGAGTCTTTCATTAAACAATAGCAGTACTATTAGCAAACGAGACACTGATATCAAGCACTGTCTTATGCCTGCAAAGACAATGCTGTCAAGCAGCATTTTGAATGTTATCTAGCTCCATTATGCAAACGAGATGGTGCTCAACGTCACCTCTCTCATGCTAAACAGAGTGAGAAGGAGCTCACCTGTGAAATGGATTTTCATGAAAAAACCCCATAAAAAGTGTTGAAAAGAGGCATTATCATTATTCCAATTAAACATAATATATCTTTGAAGACGCTACCAAAAGTGACATTGTTTCAACCAAAACCTCTGAAATGGCTATTTTTCCTAAAACCACTTTTCTAAAGGGAAGCAACCTTGTCAACAAGACTTAATTCACTGGGATTCATACACAGTGTGTAGAAAACAGAAACGCATGCATCTAACAAGCATAAAAAACAATTAGAAACATGTAATTTCAACCCATATTTAGATTCTCCCAAATAGGATTTCTCTATCACTGCATGTAACATACATACAGTTCAAGAAACAACTTTTTATCAACACAATTAGAAATCTCATGCTTTCCCATCTTGAATTAGTCTCACATATTATAAAAATGTAATGAAACAGAGTACCTGGTTATGTAAGCATCCAAAGGTCTTGATATATATAGTCTGCAGCAAGAGAAGATCAAAATAAACGAAAAATTCATGAGGGGAAAAAAAAAAAAAATGATGAAACAAAGAGAGACAGAGAGAAAGAAGAAATTACCTGGGTTCCAGGGACTTTGGAAGCAAGAGGGTGATCAAATTTGGTGACTTTTGGTTTGTTGTTATTCTTTCTGGGATTGAGTCCAACAGCATTGAGGGGCAACCTGAAACCTGGAGGAGCACCGCCACCTCCATTACCTACCAACAAATCTTCAATGTCTTCCATTCCCTTGTTCACTGCAACACAGTCGAAAGCCCCGAAAGGGTTCTCTTTCGAAACAGGTTAATTTTGTGAGTATGGACTTGTTAGTAAGGGTGTGCAAAAACCCACCCGAACCGGACTGAAAACATTTTGTTACTTTGCAGACTGATGAAGAAGAGAATGGCATGCAAGATTGAATGTTCAGATAATTCTGAAGACATCTGCATATTTTTTGCAAACTTGTGGTTTCTAACCACAAGCTTGAGGGGGAGTGCTAGAATGCAAATAGTAGAAAAATATATGTTTTCCTTAATAGTTAAGTAATATTGAGTTTACTTTTTTAAGAGATCATAATTATTATTAGCATATTTTACTTACCTTCTTTTATAGTTTATTTTAGTATAAATAGGCAATGTTGATTCAACTATAATTAATTCAATACAATTGAATTAAATTATCTCCTTGAGTCTCCTTTGTTTATGTTTCGCTCTTCACTGCTCATAATTTTGACACAAAACATCTCCACTCATACCCAAAAGTGTCATGCATTCAATCTCGAGAAAAATCCAAAATTTCCGAAACTTATAGGCTAAAATGTGATATGCAAAATCTTTGATTCAACCCAAGCTCTCAAACCCATTTCAATGCTCAAGTCAATCAAACATGCAAGGCAAGACTAGCAAGATATCACACCAAAATTTCTAGATTTCATCAAGACATTGTGCTAGAATCAAAATTGGACATGCAGCACTTCAAAGTCAGCTGAGCCGACACATGCAAGGCAGATTTAACAAGATATCCACCAAAATTTGGATCAAACACTATAATAGAAATCAACACTTTACATGCAAACAGGAATTGAGTATTTAAAAGAGTTTTTGGCTGGTCCACTTACAGATTTTCAGCTCAGCCGAAGCTTCAAATGCACCCTGAAGCACTCCTCTCTCCCGTACCCGAATCCAGATCGGAGTGATCTGCTCAAATTTTCTCCTTCTCCATTTTTTTTTTTTCACTTCACTCTCACTCTTCCTCGCCGCCAGCCCCTCTTCTTCCCTTTTTTTCAACTCTCTTTTCTTTCTCTCCTTCCTCTCTTTTCTTTCTCTCTCTGCTCTCTTCTCTTCTCCTCTGGGTTTTCTTCTCCTATTTTCTTTGTTTGGGCGACACAGCCCTTTTTATATTTCACACTCCTTTAAAATTACCATTGTTCCCTTCAAATTCACGAAATCCCCTTAAAACCCCGCCACATCAGCTTTTCCTTGCAAAAGTCTCATGATTTTTCCCCTTCTGACATGCAAACCCAACAGATTTTATTCCCTTTAGTTTTCACGCCTGACACAAATCTAAAAAACTGACAGAAACGCTCTTTCTTACAACCAACTCCATAAGACACATATACAATTTATAAGAATAAAATGAGGGGCTCACATTTATCTTCATCATCACAACGGCCACTTCCATTTTATTAGCAGGACTCTGCATAATTGGGGGAATCAGATCCACTGTTGAACCAACAAAATCATGAGCGAATTCACTCAATCAACAATAGCAAGGCTGCTGGTTTCATTTGTACTTGGATTGAACTCTTTGACTTCTTTCCATCGTTCACTAGAAGCACCCGACAGGCCCACACCTATTTCACATCCAAATTCAAACCAAAATGGAAAAACAAAAGCATGTCAAGCATCATGATCAATCAACTTTAATGAATAAATAATTAATACAAGTCATGTATCATATTAACAAAAAAAAAAAAAAAAAGCAAGTAAACAATATCTTCATCCAAAAAAAAAAAACATCTCCGATTTGTTTAACTTTTCAAACTCTATTTATTCTACTATCATACCCTAAACAATGAAAAACGTGTTTGTTTTAATATTAACTATTCAATTTAAGATCCAATCCAATTTTATTCAACAAATAACATTTAACAATTACCTTTCACAATAAAAGTTTATAAATTAACAAACACAACCTCACCCACCCAAGCTATAGTCACCCGCCAGCAACCACCGTTGGCATCGGAACGATGCACTATCTGTCGGATTTGGCCGATTTGGCCATTCGCGGCCAAACTATGGTTGTAGTCTGGTAAAAAAAGGCCAGATCGACGACTGCTAACCACCATCCGGTGGTGGTGAATAGCTGTCGATAGTCGGTTGGATGAGTATGAGTGTTTTTGTTAATCTATAAACTTTTATTGTGAGAATGTTTAGTTAAATTAACAAATGTAGGAGGTTAAAAATAATCTAAATATTTTCAGAAAATGTTTTCAGAAAATATATAAAACACATTCTCAGATTTTTATCCTATTTAATTAAATCTAATCCTATCTTATTCAGAAAAAAATATCTTATTTGATTTTATCTAAATTTGAGTTATCAGACTGTTTGAGCTTGTTAGTTCTTGTGACATACTGACAAGTTGACATTGTCAATATCAAATGAATTATTTGATTGAGATTAATTTATTATATTTCTAATGTTGGTCACGAACTATGTCTAAGTGAATTCTACCCAATATGAAAATAAAATTTCCTAAGAACCATGAACTTATAGATGATATTTGACACAAAAATAAAACCATTCAGAGATTTAAAAGCGAAATAAATGCTAACCTTGATCTTGGGCAACACCGTGATACTGCAATTACTTCCAAAGATAACTGCGAACCAGATAGCATATCCACCAACTCTAGACTCTTAAGTCTTTCCAAAGATAACAAGGATGCTCAAAAACAAAAGGATGCTCAAAAATACAACATAAAAAACATCTCTTTCAGAAATTTCATTAGTTTCCAGCATCTCTGAACTTTGTAAATTTCCATAGCCTTTAAAATTTTCAAATTTACTGAGTTTTGAACAACCAGATGCATCCGAAAATTGAAGAGACTTCAGTATTCCCATTCTAAATAGACGTCTCTCAAGGCTTGAACAGTTTCTAGGATAAAATTGGGCTCCAACATATATATATTTGGTTGATTAGGTAACTTCTTTTATTGCGGCTTCATCTAAACATAACGGCAATTCCTTAATGGCTGTTCCATCTAAATCTAATTCTATTAATTTAAATGGCAACTCAGAAATAGTCTTGAGATTTGAACAACCTGTGAGGAAAAGATATTCAAGAGATTCGAGCTTAGAGAAGCCCTTTGGGAGACTTTCAAGCTTCGAGCAATTTCTAAGCTTCAACTGGACTAGATTGGATAAATACGTAATTGATGATGGCAGTTCCTTAATTGCACTTCCATCTAAATCCAATTCTTCTAATCCACATGGCAACTCTGAAATAGTCTTGAGATTTGAACAACCTGAGAGGATAAGACATTCAAGAGATTCGAGGTTATGGAAGCCCTCTGGCAGACTCTCAAGCTTTGAGCAATTTCTAAGCTTCAATTGGATTAAATTGGATAAACATGTAATTGATGACGGCAATTCCTTAATCGCAGTTCCTTCTAAATCTAATTCTTCTAATTCACATGGTAACTCTGAAATAGTCTTGAGATTTGAACAACCTGAGAGCAGAAGATATTTAAGAGAATTGAGCTTATCAAAGCCCTTTGGGAGACTTCCAAGCTTTAAACATTTCTCAAGATTCAAACCATCTAGTTTAGAAGGATATTCGATCAAAGATGAAAATACTTCTATTGAAGTTCCGTCCAACCATAATTGCTCCATATTACTTGAGATCTTTGGAGTTGTGTTGAGATTTGAGCATCTAGACAGAATAACAAATCTAAGAGATTTTGCTTGAATGCCCATAGGAAGACTGGTGAGGCTTCTGCAATCTTCTAGATTCAGAGTAACAAGTGATGTAACATTTTGAATAGATGGAGGAGTGATCTCATACAAATTTTTGCAACCTTTTAGAATCAAACTCTCTAGATTTGTGGCAAGAGAGAGGTCTGGGATTTTAAGTAGATAATTGGAGTAGCTGAGATCAATATATTTTAAATTTGCAAGATTCTGCAAAAGGAAAAAAAAAATAAGCAGATAGATGAAATTAATTAAGATTTAGAATATATATATAAGAGCAACAAATACCTCAATGCCAGTCCAAAGTTGTTCAAGTTTGCCATGATGCATTTTAAGTACATTAAGGTGCTCAGGATGAAATTGTGATGGCAATGATCTCTGCGGGTATTCATGCCAACTGAGGTACCTTAGCTCTCTAAAGTTTGATTCAATACCATCAAAACCATGAATCATATTATTCTTCTCTCTGATTGAGTTATACACTATCAGGATTCTCAAATTTAGTATATTTGAGAATGCACGAGGAGTTAAGTGTATCTCTCTTATATTAGACATGTCAAAGCATATACCTAATATTTTTCTTGTCCCCTGACAATCAAGATCAAATCATAAGTTAGCAGCACTTATATAGAGAAAAGCTTAAATCAAATCATGCATAGATACATAAATACATATCTGTTGGGTTGGGGGAGGGGGGATAGTACTATCTAATACTACACTGAACATAATATTGTGGTTGAGGCATCATTATATTATATTAATTTATATTTTTTACAATTAATTTTTTTTCAAAATATTTATAATTTAATAGTTTATTGAAAAATTCATTTTTGTTTTAACTTATATAGATATTTAAAGTAATTTTTCTAAATTAAATAACTAATTATAAAGATTAAATAAAATAAAATAGTATAATACATCCCTTAACCTTTAGTTTTACTTTGTATTCAATAGTACGATGTTTATGTATACAGTATTAATTTGTACATTACATTAGTTAATATAGTGGAAAGTTTTTACCAAACAATATTATATTGTATTATCCAATATGCATATTCTATGCAGTACGACATACAAAGCATGACCTTACACTAAGCAGCAACACCCTATATGAAAAACTTGAAATTGAATAAAAGCAACTGAAGAACAAAGCAAGTTCTGTGCAACATGAATTATATATGGATCTGTTGTTCTGCGCAAAACTATACATGTGTGACTCTCTTTAATCTACTTCACAAACATAACAACCACTATGCAAAGTACTAATTAGTAAATGCAATAACTAAGTTCAGAAGGCAGGACACTTGGGTAATGCACACAAGAAGATTTTATATTTCATCAAACCCCAACCCTTCACCACTTCAAAACTAGTGCATGTATAAGGCAAAACAAAAACTAATAATATTCAGGAGAATGTTTACTAGATTTCACAAATATAAAACAGAAATTGAAAGCTATATGCCTTTAGTCTCACCGTATTACTTGATAATACACTGTGGATATCGTTATGATGGAACAATCGACTGCGTTGGCCAGGATCATGAATAGATTCTTGCTTAACAATTTCTCTACCCACTAGTTGAAGTAAATCATGCATGGTTATGATGTTGTTTGATATGGTTATGAGAGCCTTATCGATAAGAACGCTTAATCCAATTTGTACAGGCAAGCCCAAAGAATCAAATATTTCTTTTACTACAAATTTTTTCCATCCATTGAAGAAACATGCAATATCTAGAAATAAATCCTTCTCTTCATAATTTAGCCCATCATAACTTATTCTTAATACCTCTTGAATATACATGTGAGGAGACTCTTCCAATTTATCCAACGCACTTTCCCAATCTTGTTTTTGCCTATTTTGCAAATGTCGACCCAAGACTTTGAGAGCTAATGGAATACCTTTTGCACATCTTACTGCCTTGTTTGACAATTTTGTATAATCTGCCAAGGGACTATCTTGATTGAAGGCACATTGACTAAAAAGTTTAAGAGCGTCGTGATCAAATAATCCATCAACTGGATGAATTTCATGAACTCCAGAATTTCCAATCACTTGTCTATCTCTTGTTGTTATTATGACTCGGCTCCCAAAGCTCAAATGTTTAGGATCTCCAATTAATACTTCTATTTGTTCAAAAGAAGTTACGTCATCAAAAACAATTAGAACCTTCTTCTTGAGAAGCATATTTTGTATAAATGAATTTCCCATATTGGGAGTACCATGGCAGAGCTCCCTACTTATCTCTAATAATTTTGAAAGAAGTTTTTCACGCATATGAGTTAGTCCATTAGGATTTTGTGATTCTTCCCTAACATTCTGAGCAAAGTAGGAACTTTCGAATTGACTTGATATTTTGTTATATACCGCAGTAGCAATAGTTGTTTTACCTACACCACCGATGCCCCAAATTCCTACAATGCAACGATCATTAATCCCACTCCAAAATGAAGACTCAATTTTTTGGATAGTGGATTCTACTCCAACCAAGTCTTTGTAATCACTTGAAAACATATTTTTCAATCTCTTCAGAATATCGTTGATAATTTGCCCCATAAGTTTTGATTCGGACCTAATAATCAAACATAAAAAACAACAATACGTTTAAAAATATTAAAATAAGGGACAATATATCTGAAATTCAATTCAAATAAATTGCTCTTCAATGCACTTGAACAATTTCAAAATAAAGTTTCTCTTTTTCATTGTTATTCATTAAAAAATAATTAAAACAATTAATTGATCCATTTACTTGTAAATTAAAGGATTGTGACAAAGACTCCCAAAAAAAAAAAAAAAAAAAAAAAAAATCAACTAGACCTATTAATTTAGATTGATCAAATGTATTTGATATCCTTCAACTGCATAACCATAAGGATATAATTAATCTGAGGTATTTCTCCGCTCTTGATGGTGAAAGCATTACAAAAATGATCATTTTCTTTAAAAAAATAATGCTCTTGTGAACTCTATGAATTTAATCAAGCAATTGATAGACGAAAATCCAAAGCATCTTTTAGGGTCTTGTTTCGATAGACTTAATTGACGAAATCTAAATGTCAAAGGAAAAAAACTACACACAAATTACAAATAAACAACTGCAAAAAATTTAGGATCGATGTTTACATGTTTTACTTGATTAAGTCCGGATACCTTGGTTAAAAAAAAAAAAATGATTAGGCCCGAAAAGTTTATCTTCTTTTTTATAAATTGAGAGTCGCAACAACATAGAATGTCATTCTTATTTCTCTTAATTATGTTTCTCTGGTGCTTTGACTTTACTTATATCAAGGTCTGTGGCATATAAACCTTTTCCTCGTTTATTACAGTCTATGAAGTTAAGAATCTACTTAAAACATTTTGAGAATTTGCCTTAGGATTCTATTATTAGATGTCTCAACTAATAAGTTTCAATGCTCAAATTCAACAAAAATGAAACATACGTCCATGAGAAAATATTAAGTTAAAAAATTGGTCAACAACTATCGTAACTCGATATGCACAAAAGTATTATGTGATAATAATAACTTAGTGTAGGTACACTTACTTGGTTTCATCTAAATGCCAACCAGATAGATTAGCTGTTTCCTTCAAAGCATCCCTCCATTTATGCACTTCATCTTTATAGCGTTCGTCGTAATTGTTAGTAAAAAGCTCCCCAAATTTTCCAGCCTGATGCCTAACATCTGATGGATCTACGTGATAAAAAACTGGTATTACAATCTGACTATATTTCTTCTTGCATTCAATGATCTTTGCAAGTTCGTCGAGACACCATCGGGAAGATGCATAGTCTTCTGAAAAAATGGTAACTGAGATCTTCGCGCTTTGAATTATAACATCTGTAAGAGATGAAATTGGATCTCCTCCTTTGAGTTGGTTATCAATGAAAACATTAATACCTTTGCTGCACAAAGCTGAATGGAAATGGCTCATAAAATTGTTGCGGGTGTCTGCTCCTCTAAAATTAAGGAACACATCATATTTTAGATCAGGAATACAGATGGAAGAAGAAGAAGAAGAAGAAGCCATAGTAATTGGCAAATGAACTCTTTAAAAATTTTCTTTAAGAAGAAGATGGGGAAGCCTCAGTACTTTGATTGAACAGAGGCTCTTAGGAGTTTAGGGATACGCTCGCATACACTTGTGAAAGAAAGGAGGCTATGGAACTGTTCTGTTTCGTGTTACTTTACTCTTGCTCTGCCTTAGGCATTTCTTTCTTCTTTCTTTTGCTCTTTTGTTTTATGTTTTGTCCGTGTGTGAAAAGATATAACAAATAAAATTTTGACAAATGTCAAAATTTTAAGCTTAGTTTGTTATATATAACCAATGAACGCAGATGCATTAGTTGAACCGTAAAATATATTTCTTTATTTAAGAACAGCCTTTTCTTTTGGAGTAATGACTGGTGTGTATCGATTTTGTGTACCGAATTACGTGACACAATCCTGATCATTTATTTATTATCAGTTAATATTAATCAACGATCAGGATTTTATCATGTCATTCGATGCACAAAATCGGTACACACTAATCGATAAATCTATCATTTTCCTTTCTTTTGTCGCCCACTTTACCTAACACTCTTTATCTTCTCCCACTACAACTCCGATACTTGATTACTCAGTAAACGGATCAAACTTTTGCAGTGGTCTTTACATATATAATAATTATCAATTATTACAGCCTTCTAGACATGGTATCCTATTATTCCAAACCATAATTAAAAGGTTTGGTAAATCTGTTTTCTTGGTGGATAGATAAGCTTTAGTGTTTATGTGGTGTAACAGAATACAAAATTTTATTATATTTAAAGGACTTGTGAGATAATTATGTAATGGAATAGATCATGCAACTTTAGGGTTTTGCTGGGAGTTTTTTTCACTAGTTTTGGGGGGTTTTTAATTAGATTGATTTTGAGGTGTTTAAAAACCCTCACTTGTGAGATTTTTAATAGGCTCGTTTTTTAAAAACCCCTCAAAATCAGTATAGTGTATTTTTGAGAGGTTTATAACCGCTACCATAAAATTCCTAAGTAGACAAATTTAAATTTTTTTGAAATAAAAAGTTAGTGTTTAGAAGAACACAAAAAATAATTGTAATTAATGATTCGTTTCCTCGCTGCAAAAATATGGAATAAAGAGACCTATGCCTCTTGTTTTATGACTATATACATATATAGTAATCTTTATAAAAGTAATGAGTAATTTATGAAAAGCTTTGCAGTTGAAAATGCCAGTTTTTTGTGAGATTATTTGTAGTTTAATTTCACACGGAGCCCTGATTACCGCTTAATTAAGAGTAAATCATCATCCAGTTTATTACAGCCAAACTGTCTATTTTACACAACAAATTGCAGAGAAAATAACATTAAAAATATTCCAGTAAGCTTCCTGTTAACCATCAATTATTTTCTTTCTCGGTCTCTTCATTTCTGCTTTGAATTCTAAATATTTGAAATTTAAAATCTTAGTTCCGATATCATATTGACTTCAGGTCAAACTTCATGTTTGTATTTAATGTCCAGAATTTTGAGCTTTAAATATTTTATATTTAAAATTTTAGTTCCAATATTATATGAATTTTAAATCTTTAGGTTTTATTTTATTTAGGACTTAATGTCCATAAATTCGTAATTTTGCAAACTTCAAGTTGCAAATAGAATAGATAAATTATAATGTAAAGATAATACATAAATAAACTATTGTAAAGCTAAACTTTTTTTTTGATTTGATGGGTCCAGTTAATATTGACAACCACAGAGCATACTCATGTGGAGTTATAATAAATAACATGTATATGTTAAACACATATAATAAATTAAGCATTTAACAACAATAGTGTAGAAACATATCCGGATTACTCGTGCTGATAATGTATTATAAAATAATTACAAACAATAAAATCATAGGGATTTAAGTAAAATAAATGAAAAATAATGGACTTAGAAAACAAACGAAAAATAGAGGGACCACGAGGTCAATTTCTTCCTGTTTCACTCGTCACTCACAAGTTGGTACAGTAAAATTACAAAAGGGGCAGGTAGGAGTTTATATAGTACTTCTGCAGCCCCCAAGCTAATAAAATTTTCCAAAATTAATGGACATTTGGCAATAAAACAAAAACTCCCTATGCCACACAATGATACAGCCCACTAGGGACACCAAGCATTACGGTGGAAAGCCACCAAGTATGTTAATTTTGTGGCCATGACAACCGGTTCGACAAGAAGAGATCCATTGACTCGAAAATATAAAATCAGGAGTACCACTGACTTCATCTGGATTCGAGTTCCTGGACAAACGTTGATAAATATCGAAAATCAGAATCTCTGACTAGAGTCTATTATTAGTCATACGAAAAGCAAGTTCGTGGTGACAAGTTCCGGACATATTGATTGACGATTCGGTAGAAGATCGAGTTTAAGATTTTGACATTCCTTGAATCCGTACTCAATCAGGATATATCAATGGAGGGACTTTGCCTACATGGTACATATGATCTAAAAAGGGTTCAATGAAGTATTTCTTTATCATGGTTTGAGGACTATGACACATTGTTAGATGTTTACTATAGTCGTTGGGCCTTCGGACAAGTTTCTGGATTCATCTAAAACTAACTCACGACTAATCCACGGTAGACCTACATGGTCACACCAATAGCCTTAAAAAGTTAAAGAATGATAAGAGAGAGAAATAATTATCTGAAGAGGGCTAGCACCTTCCGAGGGTAATGATAGGATTTCTATGGTAACAGTTACATAAAAAATTATTTGTGATATTTTAAAGGTTAAAATGGTCAAGCAATAATTAATTGTATTTAATTATTATATCTTAAAGCGTTAAGATAAATTAGATGAACTAAAATAGCCTTTTAATAGTTAAAGGGCAAAAGGGTAAACTTATGGGTTGTTAATATAAACTAATTTAGTTTACATGGACCCTTGAATAGTATTGATTATTCAAAATGCAAATTAATAAATGCTGGGGCTCATTTTAGAATAAGATTTTATTGGGGCATATAAGTGAAAAATAAGTAATTACAAAATGACCCATGTATATATAAATACAAATGATTGCATTTTAGGTTAAGTGTTTATTGTTCACTCAAAAGGAAAAGAAAAGAAAGCTATTTCTTAGGTTTGACCACTCTCTCTTTCTCTCAAGGTTTGACCACTCTCTCTTTCTCTCAAGGTGGTGTTAAAGTGTGGAGGATTCATAATTTTGAATATTGACTTCATCAAATAGGTATAACTTTAATTTATGCTTTATTTAAAGTTTTTGCCTCTGTAATTCATATCTTACCTTGCGTGTTTTGTTTACATGATTTCCATCAATTTTTCCGCCACCACTTCATGGTTTTTCTTTCAGTCTCAAGTCTCGAAGAACAATACTTTTTGATGTCATGCTTAAAGCTTTTCGAAATTATAATCCTCAGCTTATAAATGTAAATATATTCAACAAAATTGACAAAGAAATTAAAATTAAAAGTGACAATAGTCAAAATAATATGACAATCGACAGCAATAGGGCTTAGCCAAAAACAATTCTTAAGCTGGTCTATATTTTAACTGAAAAAGATATTAATTAGGAAGAACTAAACCTCGATGAAATAATTAAGAGAAATATTAATTAAGAAAGTAGAATTTTGTACTTAGCATGCATGATAGAATGAACATAACCTTGATAATGTCTATTTAATTCAAAAAACAAATCAAAATAATTTACGTGTAATTAATTAAGAAAATTTAAATAAGTAACATAATTTAAAAGTAATTTGAGCAAACAAAAATACAAAGAAAATATATCAAATTCCAAAAACAGAAACAAACAAAATATGTCAAATTCCAAATGAGAATTGTGTGAATAAATAGAATTGATATAATATTGATTGTGATATATAATATTGATTGTGATAAAGTGAAAGCTATTTCAAAATAAATAAAATTAAATACGAGGAAATAGCATCTTGACAAATTTTTATACATTTTTTTCGAAAACAAATAGAGGAAAATGAACAGAAAAGAAGTCATTCTGTTATGTTAAATTATATTATTTTTCTTTGCATAAACAACCACCAACCTTGATTAAGTCTTTCTGTTATGTTAAATTATATTATTTTTCTTTGCATAAACAACCACCAACCTTGATTCACGTTATATAACACTCTATTAATATTGGTTTTTATTTAATATTTTTATTTATTTATAAAGTATAGTGTATTTGTTTTTGGTATGTATGTATAGGGTATTGGATTTTCATAATTTTAGATTCATTAATAACTCAGTACATTTTTAATGTTTTAGATTTAATACTAGTTGCATGATTAATTTTGGGCTACATATATTCTTTGAGTAGTTTAAATAAAATATAAATAATGACAAATAACTCCTTTTTTTTTTTTTTTTCCTATAATTCGAAGAGAGATTGAATCAATTAAGTCTTTTTATAAATCTTATAGAGCAAATGACATGTTCTCCCCCGAGGTTTAGCAGAATTCTTGAGTTTATACCTCTAGTTTCATTTACTCCAAATTCACACCCTTAAACTAATACTGTTAATTAATTTTGAATTTTGACTTGTGTTATTTCCATCATACCCTTTACCTTTTATTTGCCCCCACATAGTCACCATCACTATCACCATCTAGCCACCACCACCACCACTACCCAGCAATCGGCGTGTTCAGCCTTGTTCCGATTGGTTTTTCACCTAAAATCACCTCCAACCTCTTCCTTGTAACCCTTACACCAAAACCTACCAAACCCCTTCACCATTGCACCCTCCCATCGCTAGAAAATGGCCTCCTTGGCGTTTAGCGTTTTCTCCCAACTTTTCAACAATTTTCTAGCTAATTCCCTTACTAAAAATTCACCTCGAAGCCACCAATCGAATCCCCTTCATTGCCTCTACAAAGCTCACCCTCTCATCAGCCGTCATGCTGCCCAAGTTCCATTCCCACTGCCATTTGACAGCTTTTTTGCTCCCTTTTTCCACCCTCTTTTTTGCCTTTTTGACCCCCAATCCTCCTCTTTGTTGCTTTGTTGTGGTTTTTGTGCATTCTTTGGCCACTGGTTATCATCCACCAACCCCTCTATTCAAATTCATGCCCACTAGCTGTTCGAGAAAATTCTTTAACAAGCTGTCCAGCCAAGCACAGTCTGTTTTTGGGCGATGGGAGGGTGCAACGGTGAAAGGGTTTGAAGGTGATTTTGGGTGAAAAACTAGCCAGAACAAGGTTGAAATGCCGGCGGCTGGGTGCTCTATTCAAATTCATGCCCACTAGCTGTTCGAGAAAATTCTTTAACAAGCTGTCCAGCCAAGCACAGTCTGTTTTTGGGCCATGGGAGGGTGCAACGGTGAAAGGGTTTGAAGGTGATTTTGGGTGAAAAACTAGCCAGAACAAGGTTGAAATGCCGGCGGCTGGGTGGTGGTGGTGGCTGGATGGTGATGGTAATGGTGATGGTGATGGTATGGAGGAAATAAAAGGTGAAGGTAGGATGATAATAACATAAGTTAGAATTCAAAAGTAATTAATAGTATTAGTTTAAGGGCGTGAATCTTGAATAAATGTAATCAGGGGTATAAAGTCGGTATTTCGTTAAACCTCGGGTGTGCACATGTCGTTTTGTTCAATCTTATCCCATAAAATAAAGATAGATTGACAAACACTTTTCATTAACATTTTCTCACAAATGTGACGTAACAATTCGCATTTAGTCAAGTGAGATCTATTATCCACTGATCAATTGTAAACTGACACGTTATGTTTGTGAAAGAAAATTAGTAAGTAGTGTTTATCATTATAATATTACCCTATACTATATCTTATTATTATTATTATTATTATTAACCACCAAATACATGATTAATTTAATGCAATTTGATTTATAAAAGGACAACAGATATTGATTTACATAATTAACAATGACCACTATATTAAAATAATATTATTTTAGAAGAACAAGTTTAGGATAAACCTGACAACATGAAACCATCCAAAAAGATATAACAACATTCACCTACTTCTATTGGCCTATATTAAAATAATAATATTTTGAAAGAACAAGTTTAGGATAAACCTAAATTCATGAAACCATCCAATAAAATATATCAACATTCACCTAATCCTGCCGGCCACTACCAATATAAAATAATATACTCAAGTCGTTGCAAGGAAATAAAGTCTCCTTCATCTTATTAATGGGTGGCATATGAACAATAAGTGAATGGACTTTTATTATGTGCTGAATCGGTAAAATTTACTGTCTGCAAAATGGTTACTATTATATGTATACATCAATGTAAGGTAGTTTAATTTGAAATGCACTTGTAACGATAAAAAAATAAGGTATCACATTAACTATAAAAGGTCCCTATGATTATATTTAAACAAAAGTCTTATAATCAATTAGAGTTTGATTACCCTTGTTGAGAACATTTTCGAAGTAGAGCCCAACAACCCACATTGAGCCATACCACTGACTCAATGAGCCCATCTTACTTAGATCCAACAACACGGACATCAAGCTAGACCACTAACCGTTCAAGCCCATCTAAGAAAAGCTCAAGCCCAACAACCTGTAAGAAAGTTGTCACAGCCCCAAGCCCAACCCAAAATGAAAGTCCTCTTCTTACTTTCCACGATATAATATCAAAGTCAAGAGATTGTATAACTGTTACTAATTTGGATTTCATAATTCAAAATTTTAATGGCAAATGAGAAGTGCCCACGTAGCACTTACGTCTAAAATATATTAAAAACCTCAATCATGCCTCTAAAAAGCCATCCATCAAAATACGAAGGAAAATGCTTAATGGCAAATGAGCTGTGTTTGGTTTTCATACGAAGGAAAAGCCTGTGGAGATAGTAATGCATTTTGCTAAAGCTGCAGGGCCTGCAACAAGTGGAATGCATATGGAAATACCAAAGACAAATCCAGAGTCTCCTTTGGTGGAGAATAGTCCACCGATTGCAGCTAGGAGAAGATATAGAGGCGGCGACAAGAAGTTGAGTACTTATGATTTGGTTGAGCAGATGCATTACTTGTATGTGAATGTGGTTAGGGCAAAAAATCTTCCTGTAATGGATGTTTCAGGGAGTCTTAACCCTTTTGTGGAAATGAAGCTTGGGAACTACAAAGGTGTCACCAAAGACTCGGAGCAGAATCAGAAGGGGGTATGGAAGCAAATTTTTGCTTTCTCAAAAGAGAGATTGCAGTCAAATTTGTTGGAAGTTACTGTGAAAATTAAGAATTCTGGGGAGGATGAGTTAATTGTGGGCAGAGTTCTTTTTGATCTATCAGAAGTTGCCATTCGAGTTCCACCGGATAGGCCATTGGCTCCTAAATGGTATAAATTGGAAGACAATAAGAGAGTTAAAACAAAAGGTGAAATTAGGCTGGCAGTCTGGATGGGAACACAAGCTGATGAGTCATTTCCTGAGGCATGGCACTCTGATGCACACAGCACTGGTCAGTCAAATTTATCTACCACCAGATCCAAGGTTTACTTTTCTCCCAAGCTTTATTATCTTCGAGTTAATGTCTTGGAAGCACAGGATCTTGTGGCATCTGACAAAGGGCGAACCCCGGATGCATCTGTAAGAATTCAACTCGGAAATCAGGTCAGGGTTACTAGGCCAAAGCGGACGCGAAATCCAATATGGAAAGAGGAGCTTATTTATGTGGCATCTGAGCCTTTGGAGGATCTGATTATTGTGTCTGTTGAGGATGGAGTTGGAGCTGGGAAGGATGAAATTTTAGGAATGGCACACATTCAAGTTAGCGATGTCCCATCAAGACATGAGACCAGTAAGTTGCCAGATCCTCGATGGTTAGATCTCCAAAAACCTGCATTGGCTGAAGAAGGAGGTGAGACGAAGAAAGAAAAATTCTCAAGCAAGATTCTGGTTGGATTCTGCTTAGAACAAGGTTACCATGTCCTTGATGAATCCACTAGTATGAGCAGTGATTTTCAGCAATCTTCAAATCACCTGAGAAAGTCTAACATTGGAATTCTTGATCTTGGGATTTTGAGTGCAAGAAATTTGCTGCCTATGAAGAGCAAAGATGATGGAACTACTGATGCATATTGTGTGGCAAAGTATGGCAACAAATGGGTCCGAACTAGAACACTCCTTGACACTCTGACTCCTCGATGGAACGAGCAGTATACCTGGGAAGTGTATGATCCTTGCACAGTGATCAAAGTTGGTGTCTTTGATAATAGCCACATTGATGGAAGCAAAGATGATGCAAAAGATCAGAGAATTGGAAGGGTGAGAATTCGTTTATCAACTTTAAAAACTGATCGTATATACACACATTACTATCCTTTGCTGGTACTCACACCCTCTGGTTTGAAGAAACTTGGGGAACTTCAATTGGCATTGAGGTTTACATGTACAGCTTGGGTAAACATGGTGACGCAATATGGAAAACCATTGTTTCCCAAAATGCATTATGTGCAGCCAATACCAGTTAAATATATTGATTGGCTTCGCCATCATGCCCAGCAGATAGTTGCGGCAAGGCTTGGAGGATCAGGGGCACCACTCAGGTGTGAAACAGTTGAGTACATGCTGGATGTAGATTCCCATATGTGGAGTTTGAGGAGAGGCAAAGTCAGTTTCTTCAGACTAATGTCATTTCTTTCAGGGGTTACAGCTTGTTGTAAACTTATAAATGACATTTCCACCTGGAGAAACCCAGTTACGACAATTATTGCGTACGTATTATTTTTGATACTGGTTTGCTATCGAGATCTGATACTGCCCACAATTTTCCTCTACCTCTTTGTTACTGGAATCTGGAACTTCCGTTTCAGGCCAGGGCACCCACCTCAAATGGACGCTCCACTTTCACTCGCAGACGCGGCACACCCAGATGAGCTGGATGAGGAATTGTATACAGACCCAACATCAATACCTGAAGAAATACTAAGAATGAGATATGACAGACTTCGTAGCGTGGCAGGTAGGTTCCAGGCAGTGATTGAAGATTTGGCGTCACTTGGGGAAAGGGCTCAAGCTATACTCAGCTGGAATGACCCGAGAGCTACCGCTATCTTCACCATCTTCACGTTGATCTGGGCAGTGTTTATTTATGTTACTCCATTGCAAGTGGTGGCAGTTCTGGTTGGTCTATACTTTCTGCGCCATCCCTGGTTCAGGGGCAAGATACCTGATGTACCTGCCAACTTCTTTAAAAGATTACCATCCGAGTCAGACGGGCTACCATGATACAGCAACTGTGTTACTACATTCTTGTAAATGTCGAGATAAATCATAGCTGCAGTCTGCAGAGGACCTCAAATGAAGTTGCAGCAGTTCTCTTTTGTCCCTGCTATCTTGCATTAGCAGAAGAAGTTACTCTGCAAGATTTCGCAGCACCAATCGTTTCGTCATCTATGTATACTTGTTTATTTTTCTCCTTTCGGCTGAATTTTGAATGTTATATATATTGTCTTCCTCAGTAATAAGCAACGTACTGAAGATTAGCTAAAAAGAGAACAAAGCAATCATGATAGGAGAAAAAAGAGTACAAGTGTTCTGCTCTAGTTGCTGTCCTTCTAGGCCAGTCACCATCCAGCTTCCTTCCATCATCAACATATATATTTAAGAGAGGCAAAAACAAAGAGAAAGGGAGAGTAAATATGAGTTTTCTGGTCTGTAAATAGTGTATCATCAAAACGTGATCTGAAGCTCGTATGCTGTCCGATCGTTCTGATTTTTGGACATGTTGTTCATGAGACACAAATCTACATTCTGAACGGTGAAGATTGAAATCTAAGTACTGTAAGACAGTCAATTATAGGTAAACTATTCTGATTAATTTTGGTGATACTGAAAAACTTTAATCGAATTATGATATATAGTTTTTACTCCCAATAATAATTTACTTGTAACTGAATCATACAATCAGACAAAAATTATACAAAATTTATATAAAAATGATTACATTATCTTTTTTTGGTCTGATTATATGACTCAGTTGTAAGCATAAGATTACCTTTTTACTCTTCACATTGAAAAGGTTTTCCAAATAAAATTTAGGTGTCATTGATTTACTATTTCTGCATATATTTGTAGCTTTTGATTATATCCACTCAACAGAGAAACGGAATTGGAATTGTTGAATTGCTAGGTTCCTTTTTTAGTTACACGAACAAGCTAGAGACCAAAGTCAAACAAGAGAACAAAGTGAAGAGCAAAATCAATTAAAAGTGAGGATGAGAAATAATTCTTTATTTATTTATTTATTTATTTTAAATAAGAGGTTTTAAGGAAACAAAAAACGATAAACAAGCTTGCAAGAGGGTTTATTTATTTATTTATTTTTGTAAACGAGAAATAAGGGAATGCAAAAGGGTTTTCTTTTAAAAAAAAAAAATTAAACAAGAAAAAGAAAGAGTTTTTAAGTTAAAGGATTTTAATTTTCAGCAATAAAAAGTATTAAAAGAAGAGGGCTTAAGAGAGGTGGAAATTAAGGAGGGGAACAAAGAGATTAGTGATGGATGGCAAACAATAGCAAAAGTGCTCTTGGTTGAGAGCCTAGTTAGTAAATTCGCAAATTATTTTCGAATTATACGCCCACCCGTATAATTCATATATTATTCGCGAACAACCGTATTTTATAAGCCCAACTATATTATTCACGAATTATATGCCTCAGCTGTATTATTCGCGAATTATTTCCGTATCCAAATTTTTGCTGAATTTTTATAAACATATTTTTTATTATTTTCTGTATCATACCCATAAAATTCCCGTACCTTTTTTTTGTCGTACCTGTCTATTTGAAATGTTATATAGATTTTAACCAAGTGGTCTATGAAAGTGCTAAAACTAGGATTCATATTACCGTATTTTTTAAAACGTATTATTGATAATGCATCGTATTAAATCCGTATATATCCGTATCATATTTTTTCTATATCTGAATTTTATGATCAAATTTTTATAAATATATTTTTTATCATTTATCGTATCATACTCATCAAATTCTTATACTCTTTTTTATCGTATCCATATTTACTAACTAGCGCTGAGAGTAACTTGCAGTGAAATAACACCTTATCACTTGACGGTAGGAGGAACCAACATTATAATTAACAAAAAGATTTGGTATCATTGTTTGAAATTTTAGTACTAATGTTTGAAATAGAAAGTCGACTCTACTGCCGAAACAAAAAGAGAACTTTGAATCAGACCACTTTATGCATAAAACAAAAACAAAACTTTGACTAGAAACTCTGCTACCGTAAGAAAAACAAAACTTTGAATCAGACCACTTTATGCATAAAAACAAAATAAGAAACATGATAAGTCTTCCTTGTAAAATGTGACCTCAAGTGGAAGAAATAAAATATTCCTCAAGCGGTGGCCTTGATCTGCATCTAACGTAAAGACAAAATGTGAAAGCCAGAAACTACAGAACAGGTGCAAAAGAAATGATAGGGCAGAAATAAAAAATAATATTAGCAATTAATAAATATTAACACTCTAAATTAAATAAATAATTATAGACGTGGCACACGCTAGAGTGATGTAATTGATTTGTGGGCTGCAAAAATAAGTTAAAAAAGTGACACATAATATTGAAGTGGTGGCATAAATTGATGTGCATCATAAAAGAATATTAAAATGCATGCTCAAATCTAATATGTGTAATAGTATAAGCAGATACAACCTTTGCACTAACTGTTCGTTTCATATGTTAACGGAAAGAGTAATGTTATGTGCATTAATTAATTTGTACTAATCCAAGTATTAACATTATAAATTTAAAATTCTTAAAAAAAAATTCAAATTTTTATTGTTAATAGTTGAATTAATACAAATTGATTAATACACATAATATTATTCCATATAAATATATAAAGACTAGAGATATATACCCGAACCTTTTATTTGGGCTTTAATTGATGATACTTTCAGTTGATACTTGATACAAAGACATAATTCACTAAGAATCTGCTTGTATACTTTTTGGACTGTATTGTTTACTTTAACTTTCACAACTGATTTCAACAAAATATCCTAGTGTAATTGATCAGAGGTTTTAAAACTTGTACCTACACATTAGCACACTAATGCTTTTGATAATTGTAATTGATATATACCTTTCTTCTTCTTTTTTTATTTTTTTTATTTTTTATTTTTAAGTATTTATGATAATGGCACGTATGATTTATATATAAGAAGTTATATATATACTTTCTTTGTGTAATATGAATTTTAGATCTATATGTGGGACTCCGCAAACAAGTGTTCTTTCCAAAGTTGGTTCCTGTAAATAAGGCAAATTTCAAATGCTACTGGTGCAATAAAAATCATGGGTTAAAAATACATTCTATTTGTTATAAATAAATGGAAAATTGTGGGTACGTTTAATTTATTATTTTGGATAGGATTTTTGGAATAATATTAAATAGTTGGATAGGGGAGTATTACGAAGTAAAATTTAAAAATTTATAAAAAAAACCCTAAGTTTGCTAATTTAATTAAATGCTCTAATATATAAAATGACAAAAACACCCCCATCACTTGCAGTGCCAAATTCTGGCCACCACCGTCGGAATCTAGCCGAAAAATCGCGTTACGACACAGACCGGTCAGATCTGTGTCGTAATGCGTTCTTATGGCCTTTTCCGGTCAGATCCACCACGGATCTGACTGGAAGAGGCCAGATCTACGATGGCTGGGAAAGGCCAAAACGACGGCCATCTTTGGCCGTGAACGACGGCCAAAGATATGGCCGTCGTTTTCGGTCAACGATGGCTAAGATTTGGCCGTCGTTGACCTCAACGACAGCCATTTCATTGGTCATCGTTCACGGCCAGATCCGCGATGTATCTGGCCGGAAAAAGCCACATCGGTGAACTTTCGGCCATTTATGGTCAGAAGGTAGGCCGTTGTACAAATTCCGGCTGCCATCGACGGTGGTTGCCAGAATCTGGTAAGTATGGGTCGCGGGGGTATTTTTGATAATTTTTAAACTTTTTTTCAGAGTGTATTTGATAAAATTAATAACTTTATGGGGTCTAAAAGTAATTAAAAGAAATAGGGTAATATTTCTAGAATAATGTATTAAATATTATTTGGAGAATAGGATTGGGAATAGGGATAAAAATAATAAGCCAAACATGCCCACAGTTGTTCAAGGATTGCTTGACGGAAGAGCTTCCGTCCCAGAACAAATAAGCAGCCTGATTAGAGGAAGGTGGGGGCCTTTTGGGGGCTGTTAGGTTGGAGGGAGTGGAGTCGGTGGCCTTTGATAGGATGAAAATTGGCTTGAAGGGCTCGTTGGGGAAGGCGGAGAGGGGTTGTTTTGGCTGCAGGCGATGAGTGATTTAGTTTATTTTGATAGGTTTTTGCTTTGTTTTCTTTTTTCTTTTTGGTTTCTTGGTTGTTTTTTTTTTTTTCTCTTTTTGGTTTCTTGGTTTAGTATTATTAATCTGCCCGGCTAGATGCTGGGCCATATTAGTCCCTGGCGTTTGGCTGCCAGCGATGAATTTTTTTTCTTTACTTTTTTAACTCACAACTGCGGTGGTTGGGGTAGTTGCGGCATTTGGTTGCCGGATCGGCTGAATTGAATGTATGCAAAAGAGAAAGATTAGGGCTTTAAGTTGATATGTTTTTTGTTGATATATAATAATATAAATATATGACAGGTAAATAGACATAAATACCCTTATGCCGTTAGAGTTAACGTTGAAACTTTAAAAAAAAAAAAAAAATTGGTGCAAATTTGATGGTTTTTGAAAGTGAGGGTATCAGTTGTACTTAGGCTAAATGTTGGGTTGGAAATGATTCGGCCAATCTGTACTTATTAAAAAGAGTTAATACCACGAACTTTTTTCGAAAATATAGACCCTATAATTATGAAAAATAATATTTACCTCCCCTAAAATCTCACAAAAATACACTTACCCACTTGGAGTTTATTTCTTGATATACAACGAGTCATTCACCTTTTTAACACATGCAATGTGTATTGAATAACTATGGGTGCGTTTGGTTTATTATTTTGGATAGAATTTTAGGGATAGTATTGGATAGTTGGATAGGGGAGTATTACAAGATAAAATTTAAAAATTTATGAAAAAACCCCCAAGGTTTGCTAATTTAATAAATACCTCAATATATTAAAATATTATAAAATGACAAAAACACCCCTATCACCCGCAGTGCCAGATTCCGGCCACTACCGCCAGAATCTGGCCGAAAAATTGGATAACCACTTATACCGGTCAGATCTGTCGGGTATTCGATCGATATGGCCTTTTCCGGTCATATCCACCACAGATCTGGCCGGAAAAGGCCGGATGTGGCCTTCGACTGTCAACGACGGCCACTTCTTTCGTCAACGGTGGATCTGGCTGGAAAAGGCCAGATCTGGCCATTACCGACCACTTCCGGTGGTTGTGTGACTATTGTGACAAATTCCGGCTACCACCGGTGGTGGTTGCCGGAATCTGGCAAGTATTGGTTGGTGGGGGTGTTTTTTTTAACTTTTTTCTGGAGGGTATTTATGAAATTAATAAACTTATGGGTCTAAAAGTAATTAAAAAATAGACTAATATTTTGGGAATAACGTACCAAACAACATTTGAAGAATAGGATTGGGAATATGGATAAAAACAATAAGCCAAACATACCCTATGTGTTTGTTTTATTATTTTGAGTAGTATTTTTGAAATATTATTGGTAAGTAGAGTCGGATGATTATTACGAGGTAGAATTTAAAAATTAACACAAAAACCCCTAGGTTTACTACTTTAACTAAACACCCTAAGATATAAAAATTTTGTACACG